CTTTCTTCACTGAGAGTCATCCTCCACTGTCAATACTGCCAAACAGCTGGTTTTACTAACTTGTCCTCGTTAAATTAACGGATTGCTTTGGTCTTGAGTAGATTCAGCCTATACCCTTAAAATCAACTGTTACTCTTCACCTTGTAAAGAACTGATTGTATATATGTGTGTATATATGTATACACACATACATCTATGTTTGTACACACATGTATGTACTAAGGTGCTCTCTTGGTGAATAAAAAAGCATAAGCCATGGGTATCCTTCTGTATGTACACAACTGAGGCTGGTGGGACTCCTTTTTTTGCAAGAATCGAACAGTGAAAATGCAAATTTCAACAAACTACTTTACAGAATGGAATAGAAACAGTGACATGGCGAGGACTGTTTGGTGAGAAGGGCTTCTGTGCTGTCCTTGGGGTTATGGGTTAAGTCGGCCCCTTGGAGTAAAGCATATCCCTATTGTAGAGCCCACAAATGCCAGTCATTTTGGAGGGTGCATGCAGGGCCTCAGCCTCCCTCTTCTCTGCTGGAGGTGGTGTGGTCCCAGGAGGACCTCTTTTGGGGCTGACTATGTAACTGCCAACAGGCCATTCTGAACCCTGCTTGAAGCCAAAGTACCAATCTTCCAAAACGCTGCACCCTGGAGGTGCTCCATGCAGCCCGTGGTGGGGGGGGGGGGGCTTCTTGAGGGGAGTGGGAGGTCCCCACCATGCATGCCCTGCAGATCTTTCCAGGAGCAGCTATCCTGGACCCACCCCCACGTCCACAGGCAGCACTGTCAGAAACTCACTCTGTGCCGGCAGAACCAGTGCTGAAGAGTAGATGTGGGGAGGGATGCAGGTGGCCGGGGATGAAAGGATGAAATTGAGCACCCCCCTTCTGCCCTGGAGAGCCATACCCAAGTGGGGCAGTGTGAGTAGGAAATGGTTGACAGTCAGGACTGAATGGGGAGGTGGTGCCCAGGGTCTCCAGAGAGCCACCACTTTAAGGCTTTCGGGAAGGGGGTGCCTTCTCTCTGGTGTCGGGAGTGCCAGCCACCTCTGGGGCTTTGCACGGTGTGTCCGCCCTCAGGTGAAAGCAGAACCAGACTCTAGCCAGAGCAGAGGCCACCTCAGCAGCCACGGGGTGATGCCACAGTGGCCGAAGTCTGGCAAGGCGGGGCTCACTCAGCCACGGAAACGCATTTTTGTCTTATTTATTAGAAGCATTGAGAGAAAGAAAAGGGAAAAGAAAAAAAAAAAAAAACACTGGAGGAACTTAATTTGTAAAGTCCACACCACAATGAGGAGAAAGGAATCGTGTCATAAAGAAAGAAACCCCAAACATGCTTCAGCTTTTACTCCAGGTCTTGTAAGTAAACATGAAAGACTCGCAGAGATGGAACTTAACACACACATGGGTTTGGCAAAGCTTTTTTTACCCCCTTGCACAAATTTCCCACCACCGTTAAGTACAGCCCTTTTTTTTTCCCCCTAACTAATGTGAAATAAATTTTGATAGGTTAAGTTTGTGCAAAGTAGAGTGGTTTGCAAAATAAGCTTGTGGATGCTAAGGGAGGGGGTGAGAACCATGTGCACTCGGGGTGTGGAGAAACCTTTTATCTCCCGTTGCCAAATTCCTGATGGTAAGCTGCTAGAACTAATGAATCGTTTTGGAAAGTATTAAAATTCTAAAGTAACAGATTCAAACTTTTCAGAACTCCACTTGAGTCACTGGGTGGTAACAGGTAAGAGAAAGTCTGCAGTAACTTTGTGAGTATAAAGTATTCATTTAAGAGGAAAGGTGCAGTACCCAAATCCATGGACAGAACAACAAAAAAAAATCAAGCTTCCAATAAAAAAAGAAAACATTTACATATTTCCACTTTCAGAGGGGATGTGAGCAAATAGCAAAAAGCACTTATACCCAAGAGCTCACAGTGTGGAGCCCCTTCCCACCTACAGTTACCCTTCCAAGGGGACAACCCTGTGACAATGTAAGGGCGTAAAATATTGCTCTGCGGCATATTCTGAAAATAATATAAAAATAATTTCTATAGTACAGTTTAAACTTGGCTTGTAAAATTTCAACGTAACATAGCATAAAGTCTACAAACAGAATACACTTAAAAACACCTTCCTTTAACAATACATTATTTAAAAAATATCATATACCCAGGTATTGCATGTGAGGGAAATGTGAAGCAAATTACTCAAACAACATCCACTGGGGTTCAGAAGTATCTAGGATCCTTCTGGAAACATGCTATCACTTAGAGACATCTGACCTTCCCGGAAAGGGAAGTGTGGCCACATCAGACAAGAAGGCCATTCACAGGCAGGGTCTGCCATGCACTCCAAGTCCAGGACGTGTGCTCAGGTGGGGCTCTCAGCCTTTCTAGAATCAAGACTGGCGTTCTTCCTTTTCTCCAATGTCTATAATCCACTTAACCTTTCCCTGATCCACAAGGGGTCCCCACGTCACAGAAGGATATTAGAGGACTTCTTGGCCCACTTGTAAACAACACAGCCGTTTCTAATAGTTACTGTTCAGCCTGACAAACTAATTTGGTTTGAGGGAACTCTGGCCAGGGACCAGGTCTAAAGAGCTCTTTTGAATGACATGGGACGTTACTGGCGTACTGACTAGAAAGTTTAATGTAACGGTAGATTCTCTCGCTGTTTCAATACTGTTTAGAGGAAGGGATCCAGATCTTTCACAAAAGGAAACAGCTTTTTGTAAACAGTGTGGACAAGCACCCACAGGCACCCTGGCAAGCTGAGCCACCTTGTGACCACATGAAGTTGGGGGCCTTCCACATGGCTGGGGAAGCCACCATGGTGGCCGGTAGTTGGATCTTAGGCTTTTATTCATGGCACATCAATGGGTGTGGTGGGGTGGAGGGGACTTTGAAACTCGAGATAGAACACGTCACCATTAAAAAAAAATAATACCTACGGATTATACTGCCTGGTTTCAAAGGTTTTTCTCTGGTCTTACAATGGACCATGTTTATTCTCAGCTTGCAACCCGCCCCCCACCTTTTTTTTTTTTTTTTTTCTTTTAACCTGGCATGAGAAAGATAAAATATTTGCATAGCCAATGTGGGAAATTTCTGGTTGGCTGTTTTAACATTAGAAAATGAAAAAAAACAAGCAAATTTACTTTATGCCTTTTTGACTTCTTGTGCACATGAGTTTAGTTTCAGAACGCACAATTAAGCATTTTCAATGTTGGCTGTCTCAACCTTCTAAGAGTGAGGGGTGGGGCGAGAGCCATAGTCGGTGTCTACACATGATGCAATACTTCCTGTGACCTCCAAGCTTTGGATGTCAAAGCAGTTGCTCAGCATGACACAAAGAATCAGTCCAAAAAGCTTCCACAAACCCTCTCGATGAGAGATTTTTAAAAAACGACTTTTTTTTTTTTTCTGAGTAACAAAAGAAATCCCAGTAATATGAGGGACATGGATGTTAGTAATCACCCCACATTGAAAGTATTGTTCGGCATGAAAAGTAAAACTTCCAAAAAATTTCTTAAAGATTCTATTTAATAAATAATTTTGATTTAGGTAAGGAACCACTTATGCAAAACTTGAATAACTTACTGAAAACTCCACATGCTGTGGAATAATTAAAAACAAAAAGGAATTACTCACAGGAGATACTCAAATTACTATAATTCTTCAAACAAGTAAAAAAAAATCCCCTCTTCTTTTTTGTTTTTACTTTATTTAATTAATTAATTAATTTATTTTGCTGCTCTTTATGTCAGAGGGAAAAAGCATCCTTTCTGGAGAAGGAGAAGCTGGCTCCAATGAAGAGATGGTCTACCTCCTGAATTTTCTGAGGATACACCCACAGCAAAGCTGGGTGCTATCTCCTTTCTTTCTTAGGATTATTAGAAGCTATTCTAAGGCTCCCGCAGGTTTTAAAGTATTCTTTTGCTAGTGAGGATTTTACCCATCTTATCCGTATTTCTTGGAAACAAGATCTCTCCTTAGTGAGGCAGATTTAACTCCTCAGTGTCCTTGGCCAAGAATGGGATTCTCCAGAGGTAATCTTGGAAGGAAGAGGCTGCATATTGCTGCTCAAAATAGGGTAGCTAAGGACACATTTTTTTTTTTTTTTCTCAAGAAATGTAGGAGGCACCAAAAAAGGGACCGCTCAGGGATGGGGCTGCCCCCTCAATGTGTTAGGGAGCCACAGGCAGGGTTACCCTACCCTGCAGAGGGGACCCCAATGGGAGTGGAGCCCCTTTACCTGGCTTGACCCAGACAGATGCAGGTGGAGGTGGGGATGGGCTTCCTTCCGGGCTGCCCTCAGCCTCTTCCCCTTGGAAAGGGGCACAGGACGGGTTTCAAAGTAGCTTAGTGTGGGGGCTTACACAATGACCTCGACTCTTTCCTGGGGCACCTGTAATCACTTCCTAGGGGCCCTCCGGCGATAGTTCACTGTCGAAGGGTCTTCAAAGGAGCAATGTGAGCAGACTGTCATCTGTGCTCATACATGGGCAATTCCAAATAGTGAGTTAGGAATCTTGCTTTTTGGACCCAAGGTGTCTTTGGAAAGCTCCTGTCACCTGAGCTGCCCGGCACCGGGAGCCATCACTACACCTCCCTGCGCCCTGCGAGGTAGGTTGTCCAGTGCCCATCCTAGGACGCCTGTGGCTTTGATGGCAGTGTGAATGTTGCTCCAGCCAGGGGTTGTTTTTTGGGGGAGAGGGGAGCGTGGAAGGAGGTTTTGCTTATGCGATGGAGCAGTGTATTCCTAAAGGGCCCCTGCGACCACTAGACCGCGTGAGCGGGCGGCACCTGCCCCCTGTCCTCCGGGGGCTCGGGAGGGGAAGCAGGTGCGAGCCCGCAGCACAGCCCCCGCTGCTATCCCGGGCTGCCGGTTTGCTTCTAAACCCTGGGTGGTACCGACCGCACACGTGTGATCGCTACGTGGAAGAGGTCAGTCGCTGGGCTGGGGTGGGGGTGGGGGTGGGGGCGGGAAAAAAAAAGCAAAAAAAAAAAAAAAAAAAAGGTAAAACACTCCCTTCTAAAAACAAAGGGCTGCAAATTTCTTTATTTCTCTTATTGAGGAACAAAAATACTCTTGCAATGGCTATTGAGTTTCCACAGGTACGAGGCAGATGCTAGCTAGCACACCCACTTCCAACAGTATGACTTGTTTCCTATCCGTCTACTACCTGAGTGGCGTCAGTGTAGGTTCAGGCACCATTAGGAACGTTGGACCAAACACGTACACAGCACTGACCGAGGAGTCGCCGGCCTTCCGGTGGACCAGGGCATGTAAAAAAGACACCGACAGAATGGAAAAGGAATCCTTTATGGTAAAAGCTGGCGCGCGCGCCGCCCTCAGGGCCGGGCCCCACGCGCCTCGCGCCGCCGCCGCAGCTCCTCGCGGTAGCAGTAAGAGCAGTAGTGCTCGGTCTCGGCGCGCCCGTAGAACGCGCAGTTCTCGCGCTGACAGCGCCGCTGCGCCAGCCCCGGGCCGCCGCGGCCGCACTCACCGTTCGAGCGGGCGGCCGGCGCGTCGGCGTCGGCGAACTCCAGGCCGTCCCGCGCGGCGCCGAAGCCGTTGGTGTAGGTCTGCGACTTGTGCTCGGCGGTGCCGGCCGCCCCTGCCGAGCCGGGCAGGGCGCCCGGGACGGCGCGCGCCAGCGACTCGACCGTGTTGACGGTGCGCAGGGCGGCGGCGCGCGCCGGGCTGTAGCTCTGCGACGACAGCGAGCGGTTCTGCTGCGGGTACGTGGCGCACGGCCGCAGCGCGCCCACGGCCGGCGCGCACGCGTCGTCCCGCGCGCCCGCCGCCTGCACGTGGAT